TGCAGCTATTTACTGTAAATTTTATTTATTTTTTCAATATTTTCTTTAGATATATTGCACTCACTTTATTAACTGCTAGTATAAATGATTTCTATACTTACGACTTAGTTATTGCTTCTCCAATAATATTTCAATTAAAATTCTTTTTTTCGACATCAGAAATCAGGTAATCATTCTGATTAGTATCAATCAAGCACCATTTCATTATAATGTTATTCAAATTGTTACTCAGTATTTCTTCAGCATTATATTGCGAAAGAGTCAGGCTCAAGCTAGTTTTTGAGTGATTTTCAATATGCCCCTCAATAACTTCATTCTTATTAAGATTTTTCGAATCAAAGCTAGTAACAAAGATAAATGAATCTAGAAGTTCATTTTGCATTCTGATTTCATGTGTAAGAGGCAATTGACCCGTTAAAGTTTTCTTCCTATAAATAATTTTTACATTTCGAGTATGTCGGCTAAAGTATCCATGTCCTTTGGCAAGTACTATCCATAAAAGTTCTACATCAACAGAAATGCTGCATATTAGATTATAAAACAGGTTAATACCAAAGATTGCTTCATATTGCTAAAAAAGTTAAAATAATATTATAAATACTTTTTGTTGTCAAGATTATGAATTATAGCTTGATATCTATATTTATTTACTAAACTAAATCGTATCATCGTGTCTGATACCTTTTGATTATTAACAATTAAACAACCAAACATCTCATAATTATTATCTTTAAGAGGTTAAGCAAATTTAATATCTATATAAGCTTGGTTTTTAAGGTTTATTTTTGTCATGCCAGTCATTATAATATGGTATCTATCTGAAATTATGTTTTCTATAATTTTCTGTGTAGGCTCTGGCAAAATTTTATACCGAGGCACCAAATCCTCAAACTTTACAATCTTCAAATTTTGGACTTCATTTAAATTCTGTAATTTCTAATAAATTTCATGGTTATTTACAATTTCACTATTAGAATCTATAAAGAAAGACTTATCTAAATTTTTTATTAATTTTCTCTATTCACTTAATTTTTCTGAAATATTATGTTGCATCCTAAATTTATCGGTTATTTTGGTTAAAAAATGCTATCTTTTATGAGCTTATCACTGCTAACGGTATAATTTATAATCCTGAAAGTTTACAAATCGTAATTCTATAATTTATAATCTTGACAATTTATAATAATTATTTGTATCTATCTTCTGCTGGATTCTTCTTCCAATAGCTTTATAATTCACTCTTAACAAATACATCAGAAGGTACTATTATACATTTTGATAATAATCAGTTAGAAAAATACTTAAATACATTTCATCTGAATGACTCATTCCAACACCAACTTTAAAAACGATACAAAGAAATTTATTAATAACTAATAGTTCTAATTAATAGATGACTGAGGTGTATTATATATTAGAATAAATGCAAACATTCTACTACTAATTTCTTCACATTCTTCCTCCCCTTCATCATTATAAATGTTTTTTTCTTTATTCCTATCATTATCTTCACGACTATAATTACTAATATGATCTTTGTCTAAATTTTCATTAAATATCTCTTTTATAAGTCTTAAATTCTCTTCAATGTGAATACTAAATGTATAAAGAAGTTGAATTAACTTTATTAGTTTATTCACTGAGTTATTCAAAAAAGGAATTGCAACAAT